TATAAAAATAAAAAATATTTATTAATAAAATAACAAATTTTAATATAAAGAAACAATATCAATTTTATTATGTTTTATTATATTTTTTTAATTTTCAGTAATATAATATATAGAAATATATAATATAAAATAGTATAAAATAAAATAGTATAAAATTATATTCAGTAATTAGTATTATATTTATTTGTAATTTGTTCAAATTCAACAAGTTGTAAATGAGAATTTTCAATTTTAAGATAGTTTACTAGTAAATATTATTTTTATTTTAGTATAAAAAAATAAAATCTATGATAAGGATAATTACTAAAATAATATTATCTAATTAAATAATTTGCCAAAATTAACTTGCTAAAATTAAATCTGAAATTATTTTGACTTATTTTATTAATAACTGAAATTATTTTCTGAAATTATTTGAATTCTACAAATCAAAACAAGTATTTCTAGATGATTTTTAATTATTTATTAATATAAGTAATATAGCAAAACTGAACTATTTGCTAAAATATTATTTTTTCCAAAAATAATTTAGGAGATCATCTTTAATCTATAGCAAAAATAATATTTTTTTATTGGTCTAATACAAAAAAAAATAATTTTTTATAAAAAAATAATAACAAATTATCAGATAAAGAACTTTTAATTAAGATATATGAACCTTTAATTGAATTATATAATAATAATATTGAAATTATATTTGAAGATAATTAATATATATTAGTAAAGTTATTCTAGTTAATAATGTTATAGTAGTAATTAAATTATTAAATTTTAAAAAAATAATTAATTTAGATTATCAAATTATTATTAATAGTTCAAAAAAAATTTCTAAAGAAGAAATTAATAATTTAGATAATATTCACAAATGAAGTTTTATAAAAAGATATATTTAATTTTAATAATGATGATTTATTATTAGAATTTAATGAAGAAAAATAATTAATTTGTTTAGTTATTTTATTTATGATAATTTATTTATAAATTATTAATTTAGATATAAATTACTTGTAAATATTTTTTAATATAAATAAAAATTTTAATATTTTAAATAAAAAATTTTGATATAATTAAAAAAAACTTTTAATATAAAATTATTAATATATCTTTTTAATACTATTATATTATTTTAATAATATCAAAATTATTTACTTATATCAAAATTCTTTGATAATGCTAAAATTATTTATTATGTCAAAATTTATTTACTATGCCATTTTAATATTACTTTAATAATGTTAAAATTACTTATACCAAAATTCTTTGACAATGCTGAAATTATTTATTATACCAAAATTTATTTACTGTGCCATTTTAGTATTATTGCACCATTTTAATATTACTTGAATAATATTAAAATTACTTACTTATGTCAAAATTCTTTGACAATACCAAAATTCTTTGATAATGCCAAAATTATTTATTATATCAAAATTTATTTACTGTGTCATTTTGGCATTATTGTGTCATTTTAATATTACTTTAATAATATCAAAATTACTTTCTTATACTGAAATTCTTTGACAATGCTGAAATTATTTATTATGCCAAAATTTATTTATTGCATCATTTTGGTATTACTGCACTATTTCAACAATAGTAATTACTACTTATAATAAGAGTTTTGGCATTTCAGCATTTGTTAAAAAAGATTTTGGCAAGCATCCTTAGTTGAAATACAATAATAACAGATAATAAATGATTGTTGTTAATCTTGTTTATAATAAATGAGTTATATTCAATTCCATTTTTAAATATTTTTTTTGTTGTTGATGTGAATTTTAAATCTATCATGATAACATTCGTATAAATAACTAATAACTAGACAAATTAAACTAAAATTTTGATGAAATACGACTTCAGATTTTGTATTCTTATAAAGTGAATATTTCATCGATGGCTGCTTTTATTAATTTATTACTATTGTTGTTACTACTACTACTACTATTATTATTATTCAGATTATATTTGTGGATGTTGTTATGATTAAGATTGTTGTTGATATATCCATTATTTTCTGAAATTGGCATCGGATTTGTTTTGATAGGAGGTTGTGAAATTTGTTGATGCTGTTGCTGATGATGAACGGGATAATCGTTTGAACGAGGAGGAGGGTACGGTGCATAATTATTCGATTGCGATGATGGTAATTGTGTTGGGATATTTTTATTGATGTTGGGTTTTTGCTGTGACGCATCAGGAACGGCAGTAACAGGTCGCAAATTCGTTGATGTATTTGTAGTAACAGTTGTTGGTGCTGTAACGTATGAAGCTCGATATAAATCGTCAGAATTAAGTTTCGGTATATTTGGTGCTTTAATAGATCCGATATGTTTAATATAATTTTTGTCATAAAGACAGTTTCCCAACACATTCCCAAATTGACGTAAGGCTCTCTTTAGTCCATCAGTTACCGCTTCTTTTTTGGCGTGTTGAAATGCCATTGATTTGCTTTTTTGATTTTCCGAATCCCCATATCCAATATCTTCGTGATACGCACCATTAGCAAGTGTCACTCGCACAATCACCGAGAGTCCAATCGAATATCTACCATTATTCTCATCCATAAAATCAATGTCGATTGAGCCAATACTGCTTGACCACTTGTTATATCCGAATACCTCATTTGCAATCTGAATTGCTTTGAATCCTTCAAGGTATGCTACTCTCACGTTACCGGGTCCTGGTCTGTACGAAATGTATTCAGGTCCTAGTTTTCGGGTTAGCTTAAATGATGTTTCTGAATGGTGTTCGTTGTGGTGAAAATTGTTGTTGTTGTCATTTTCCAAGATGCGAAAATCCGGACTCATGTTGTCGTTTTCCAATGGATACATATTATTGTCATTCGTATAATCGCCGTTGTTACTATTGTTATTAATATTATTATTATCAAATTGATTCCAGTTTTGTTGTGTTTTATTATTCATGTCGAAAATAGAATTCATTTCTTATTTTTTGACTTGCAATAAAAAAAAGAAATTTGAATTCTCTCTTAGAATATCAAAATAAAGTAACGGTAAAACAAAACAAAAGTAACGAGATAATCTATTTGTTATCATAACACGCGTATTTTATTTAATTATATCACGTGAATTGTTGTTTGCACACGTGAGAAAATTATACTATGATCCATCCAAAACTGAATTTTTTGAAGGATGATTATTTCATAGAAGATACAGTGAGTACTCGTTACAGTAACACTCTAAGATAACATCTCATTGTAGTGATACAAACTCTCTTCCCCCGATCTCATTACGGTAATAAGCTTTCATAGTATTTATTTTTTTTTCGATAGAGTAGCATCTCGATATAATAACACCAAATCTCTTTCCCCGATCACGTTATTGTATCCAGCGCTCACTGTATGTATTTATCGTAGAACAATAGGCATGCATTTTGCATGAAGAAATTTAGCCAATTAAAAATAATACATGTGGAATAACACTCGCTGAAAATTAATCTTTAAAAAACTAACTGCTCACTAATCATTATATAGATCTTGTCAAGAACTATATACTAACATATTTTTTTATGATTTATATAAATCTTTGCAATTCAAAGTGTTGGATACTATATCGAGAGATTATTTTCGTCATAGAGGCTTTTTATTATAGATGGTTTTGAACTCAAATTTACTATAGCGAAAATTTAATTAGTCTTTACTATAACGAACTTTACTATAAAGGAAGTCATTACAATACAAAATTGAGATGACTATTTGGACAACCACCACGCCGAATTTACAAGTTTTGCTGTATTCCATGGATTTACTGAATTGCTCTTGTAATTATTATTAGGAGTAGCAGATGAAGATATTGGATCTTGGATTATATTAACATTAAGGGTATCATTATTAGGTTGTGGCTGTGGTGGTGGTGATTCCGTATGAAGTTTATCAACCGGATCATTATCGGAATGGTGAAGGCTTTTATGTGGTGCAGACGATGAATTACTTGATTCAAGTTTATCGGCTGGATCATTATTGGATTGGTGAAGATTTTTATGTGGTGTAGACGATGGATTACTCGATTTTCGAGGAAGATTAATTATTTGATGAGGTGCCCCTTGTCTTACAAGATGCTCAAAAAGAGAAATATCATTTTTAATGGATTTTTTTTCGCCAACTAATATGAGATGCTCGAGATTATGCGAAGACAAAAACGGAATTAATGATTCTTCAGGTATAAGTGATGCTTCATTTACAATGATAACTCGGGGCTCAAATTTTTCGATGAAATTTCGATGCTGTGATGCGCAAGAGATATCCATGCCAATCAATGGTGAGCTTTTTACAGTTTTATGCCATTTGATGTTATATATATTCTCGATCTCTTCTATACTATCTTTGAGAGTTGCGATTGCGTGACTAGTTTCGTTTATTTCTTTGTGTAAATGGTTTGTAATTATCTCGTCATGCGATTTTCTAATCTCTTTTCGAATAGACAATGGAAGATTCCAGATCTTATTTAATTTTGTGAGATGTTTTTCCCACATTTCTCTTATGTTGTCATTTATGTCGTCTAAGATAAATTGTGGCAACAGTTGCTTGTCGATATTGGCAGAATCACTGGCATTTGCAATATTACTTAACGCTTCTTGGGGATTATTCCCGTTGAGCCATGCTGGTAGTAAATTGATAGACTCTACTTTGAATTGCCCACGGATACTTTGGGGAGCATTGTTAACAAATGAATCATCACTTACAGCGGTTACTTTTGTAGCTTTAAGCAATTCCATATACATTTCTAATTTTTTGATTGAAGTTTTGATCTCGGATAGTAGATCGTCTAACGAGGATTTTTGCAAGAGGCGATCGATATTGCGCTCGCGTAAATCGTCTGTACATTCTTCTGTTGATCCACAATGGATTAGATTCGGGATAAAGGTGATGATATTCTCGAGAATGATATTTAAGGATTGAGACGATCTTGTAATCAAGAGGATTGGCTCATTGTTAGATTCATTTGAGATAACTTGATTGATCATCTCGATAGCATTGATTACGAATTTCTCTTGTGTTGTCGCTTTTGAAAAAAACTAAATATTAAATCGAGCTGAGAGAAAAGATATTGTAAATATTTAATCGATTACTTACAATTCGGGCTAATCGTAAGAGATATTTTATTAAGGAACACTTCTTTTAAAGCTTTCAATTCACTAAATTCAATACTGTATGGATCCCCTGTATTATTGGAACGTGCAAGCCATTTGCCTGTCGCCGAAACTGTGGTTGTTTGAAGTTTGATGTTTTTCTTGAGGATTCGATGCAAGTTCAGTGTAGCACCGAGTAGATATTCAGGCGGAGATGATGACGAAGTTAAAAGTTCATGAGCCAGTGGAAATAAATTTGCGATTGGAGTTTCAATTCGCGTCTTTTTTGTATCGGTAGTGGTGGCAGTATCGTTCATGTCTGCTTGATATTACATTAAAGTTGAGGATTAAGATGTTGAAAAAAAAACAGAATTTCCTCGCGATTATAGATATTACTATATAATTTGCTAACTTTATAAATGGATATACATGTATACTATATGTTAAGTAAATGACCTTAAAGCGTGTCAAAATGGTTTAGACTTTATATTATATAAATAATAACGTGTCGAATTTTTACACGTTTCTGTCTCGGGACTCTAAGCAGCAAATGAATACCCTACCTTATTATTATTGTTCAATTACAAATGGTGAGGCAAGAAATCGTTTTCAATGAACTTGATAAAGTATTGAACGAGAATTATATAGAGAAGGCAAAAGCCCTGGTAGATATTGTTTGGCATTCTAAGCCTAAATAATTTTTAAATTCTCTTGTTTGATTGGTTCGATATGATCAATTTCTTGACGATCTTTATTTTTTGTTAATAGCCACGATTCGGACAAACAATAGAAAGGCTTAACATGATATTTATGCTTCATATTATTATTTATATCTTCTTCCGTGTCATATCGCTATTCAAACATTATCATCTTCTGTCTGATCTTGATCTTGAGCCAGAATATCATCCTTTTGTTCTTCTGTGTGATCTTGATTTTGAACCAGGATATCATCCTTTTGTTCTTGTTTTATTGGTAAATCCGAATTAAACCGAAAAGGTTTTTGACTTGGATACTTTACTTTCTCTGTCCAATATCGCCAACACTGTTTTGGCGTTCGTGTATTAACTAATTTTGCGACTTTAATCCATTGATTTCCATATTTTTTGTATCCCTCATGCAACAACTCAATCTCCGCTTGAGACCACTTTCCCACGTTAACATGTGGATTCAACTTTGGCGAATCTTGTAGCATACGTTTTGCCAAAATCATTGATCTGCCAGGTAATCGTTTCATAATCAAATCCCATTCGTTTCCATATTCTTTTACCCCTTGCTTTATCGTCTCGATTTCCTCTTGAGACCAAAAACTAACTTGGCGACCGGGTCTCATACATATTTCGTAGTGTGTTCGAATTACGGATGCAGGTCTTTTCATTTCTTCGGAAATCTTTGACCATCCTCCGTTATGTTTTTTGTATAGCTCCAAAAGCTTCTGATCTTCTTCGGGCGTCCATTGTCCGCGCTTCGAATGGTTTAGTATAGTCCAACGTACCCGTGCTTGGAGATTTGAGATTCCGGGAATTCGTTCCGCAATTTTTACCCATCTCCCCGTGCCTATTTCCTTCACGGCTTCACACAGCAAATTATCTTCTTTTTGAGTCCAAAAATGTCGTGTATTAATAGTGTCCGGGATTCCTTGTTTTTTCATCAAGTAGAGATATTTTGTTCGTATACTGCCTGGTTCACGCGTCATACCAAATACTTTTTTAGAAATTACGCTCCATTGTTGCCCATATTCTTCAACCGCTTCTAAAAGTTTCTTCTCGTCCTCAGTCGACCAAGTGGAACGGTTTATTTTCTTAATCATGTGCCAGTCTTTGTCGGATAAACCAAGTTCTTTCTCTTGATCCTTTGCACAATTTTGTTTCTTGAGTCGCCACCATCGTGCGGCGATTTGCTTTGGGGTTCGGGTGGAATCGAAGATATTTTCCGAGATAAAGGCCCATATTTGGCCATACACTTTTACGGCTTCTTTTAATTTTTTCGTTTCTTCTTCAGTCCATCGAGTAGTAGGTGGTGGTGGTGATTCATTTAAATCAGTCTTGTTTTCTTTATTTGATTCTGCTTTATCTTTTGTCTCTACTACAATTGGTAACGGTAAATGTTTAGTTGTTGATGCTATTTGTTCAAGTTGTGGCTGCACGCGTGCTATTATCGTAGATTTAGAAGAGTTTGAAATCAAACACTTAAAGATATGATTCATCTTTTTTGGTAAGTAGACCTTTGTTGTACAAGATTCGCAATTTATTCGATGATTCAAACATCAATCAATATAAAGTTTTTGTTCAAAATAAATTAGATCTAAAATTAATGTTTCCAATCAATATTTAATCCAATTCGCAAATTCATTCCAAATTCTCATGAAAATATTCGTATAATCGTAAGAGATTTCGTTCTAACATAGCAATAGTGACTTGTCCAACAGCCGGCACATAGATACTAGCTTTCTCGGTAACGTTATCCTCGAAATTCTTGAACGCCGAAAAATTTATTGCGACCACACCGTCACGTAACATATCTGTCGAGAGTTTATAGGATTTGGAGGGAACGCCTGTTATGACGACGTCGCATTGGGGTATTACCTCCTCTAATTGCAAACTTGTTTCTTGTACCTTATTTCATATACAAATTTATATGTAAATATCGATATTATATAACGATTTTCGTGTTTATTGTTAGTGAACTACCTTATGCATATGCAATTTTAATCCAGCCCCACGTGTAAATATTTCGATATTATTTATATCAATGGAATATATTTTTGCCCCGTCGTTGGCTAATAATGCTGCCAATGGTCGTCCGACAACTTCACTTCGATTAATTATCCCAATGACGCGTCCATATAGTCGATTACCATATGGAAGCACAGGATTATAAACTTTTATATATTCAAGAACCTAATAATGAAAATGGTGTTTTTTATTTATCAACATTATTGCTGTTTATGAATTATTAATGTTAGATTGATACCTTTACGATTCCCAATGGTGTACACGGAATTATACTCTTTTTATTCTCATCTTTGTTAATATACCTAATATTATGATACATATTAGAGACGTACATGTGACATAGGCCTTCGACATCTTTGTGATAATCGACTATATTTTGAAGATATTGATCCTATGAATGATAGCATTAAATAAAAAAAAGACTAATTTATTAAGAAAGATGCGAGATTGGAATATCTTCTCTCGTTAAAAAAGACTGATTCCTTGTGTAAAACTTATATACCTGTCGATCTCCATACACCGGATAATAAATCATCATCCCATGCACATTTTTATCCTCATTCGCTTCCATAATCCTACTTTCCAATTCTTCACGAGGACATTCCCGTAATTCAAACTCCACCCCAATTTCTTGGCAAGACTTTCCCGTCCATTTTGCGTATTTTACCGCGGCCGGGTCGTTATTTGCCAAAAAGCCAACAAGTTTAGGACGAATTCCTTTTGAGGATATAATTTTTTTCACTTCGTCTCTAAGTAGTGGTAGCGGTAGTACATGTAGAAAGAGAATGCAACAAAATGTAGTTGCGGAGGTAACGGCGGGAATAGGTGTTTATATATTTATAAGACGAAGACTGTGGGCAGCAAATATAAAGAGGAAAAGACGCGTTTCTTGAGAAGTTTCGTTGCGTCGTCTCTTCAACAGCACGAAGAGAAGAATGTTTGTTTCGCAAGGACAACGTTCTTAAATACTGAAAGATAATTGATGGCATACCTGTAAACCTGTGCTATATCTGAAGCTAATACCTTTTTGCAAGACATTTTATAATTGAATGAAAACGGAGGTTACACCGAGTAATCTATTTTGAATATTTGAAATCATGTGATATGCATGTATATGGAGATCCATTTAAAGGCTAAATGAAGCATACCTACTTTTCGGGTGCATTTTCTGTTCCTTCGAAATTACTAAATGGCGGATGGACCAGCTCTTAACGCCCAAATAGTTCGTGGACTCCAAGACCGGTTATATGATAAGCGAAAGGCAGCCGCCTTAGACGTTGAAAAGTAGGTTATTTAAATTGTGATATGAGTGGGAAGCATATAGTTACATTTGAATTAAAAATTGAGAACACGCGCCGCACAAAAGCGTAAAAATTGAATCAAAAGTAATTCTTACTCTTATTGCGGTCTCTTTACTATTCTATTTAGACTAATAAAAGACCATGCAGGAAGCAAGGACGTTGAGCGAGTTCGTGGGATACTTGATACACTTGTCCAAGAGTTTGCATATTCTGTTAATGCTAATGCGCGCAATGGGGGGTTAATTGCTTTGGCAGCAGCCTCAATAGCATTAGGCCAGGTTAATTCTATTCTTTGTATTAAGATTTCAGTTATCATTTCATGCCAAAATATGATTTACTATTTGTAATTTTTGATATTTGGTTGGATAGGATGTCGCGGCATATTTGGATGATATAGTGCCACCGGTACTCGCTTGCTTTGCCGACCAAGATTCACGAGTGAGATATTATGCGTGTGAGAGTATGTATAATATTGCAAAAGTCGCGAAAGGCGAGATATTGCGATATTTCAATGAAGTATTTGATGCGATGAGTAAGGTATGGAAGGTTTGTTTTAAATTAGCATTTAGGATTATCACTTATAATATCTATGTTTAGCTTGCAGCTGATCCAGAGCTCTCAGTCAAGAATGGGGCGGAACTCCTAGATCGATTGATTAAAGATATCGTTGCAGAGCAATCTACCACTTATGTATCAATTCTGGTATCTTCTGGTGGGATGGGAGATGACACAGATATAAACTCGACGGCACCTATTTCTACGCCGCGTAATACAGCATTCTCTCTGCCTCGTTTTATACCTTTACTTTCAGAACGTATTCACGTCAAAAACCCATTTACCCGCAACTTTTTGGTGTCTTGGATTACGGTTCTAGATTCGATCCCCGATCTCGAACTTGTATCATTTCTTCCCGATTTTTTGGATGGTCTATTGAATTTTCTAAGCGATCAAAACAAGGATGTTCGATATGCTACTTTGACTGTTCTTGCCAATTTTTTGGCGGAAATTCGTGAAGCTGTCGAAGTTCGAGAACAACAGAAAACACAAGCAATGAAAAGTTATTATGTTGAGCAACAGCGAAAGACAGCGACTGCTTCAGAGACTGCAAGTGATGCAGGAGAGAGTGTCAAGGATGGCGATATTCTTGAGGAGGGTTTATTGATTAAGGCTTCGGTCGACGGCAATGAAATTAATTGGGATGCGGTTTCTATTAATGAAAGTGAAGGAAAAGGAAGGGGTTCTTGGGTACCAGGACAAGGAGTTGTAATTAATTATACTAGGATTGTACAGATATTAATGCCACATTTGTCCTCGCAAGGTAACGCCAATAAACTTTGTTATAATGAATGCATAATATTAAGACATAAATTATAATGTATAATCTAGAGGAAGAAATACAAGCAACAGCACTTCGGTGGATAAACGAATTTATTCTTCTTGCCAAAGAAGTTATTGTTCCATTTACTCCTCAACTGATTGCCGCTATCTTACCATCACTCGCGCACTCCATTCTACATATCCTTTTTGCTCTTAACATTAAAATATTAAGACTTGTATTCTTTATCAATTTTTATTCTCCTTGACCTATTATATTATTTACTGATCAAGAACAGTGCCGTTGAAGCCAACTTGAATCTTTATAAACTGATCTTCGATACGCCTACAACGCCACCACCTGCTTATTCTGGTATCAAAGAAGTTTCATCTGCTCCTACGCCATCAATGTTTTCAGCGGTATCTTTAGCAGCATCTGCTATGATTTTGGCTTCGCCTCCTAACAATGAATTAACTTCACAATATTCTCCCCAATTGGGTATAATAAAGGAGAATAATACTGGATTATTAAGTGATCCGTTTGATTATCAGTTGACTGTTGAGGCGTTGATGCATCAACTAATGAATGATCATGAGGAGACTCGTGTCGCAAGTTTAGAATGGCTTTTGATGCTCCATAAAAAAGCACCAAAGAAGGTATTTTATTTTTTCATTTATTAGAGAGGTGTTCTATTATGTCAAATCCATATATGATAAAAACCTGTTTTTTTAAATAGATTCTAGCAATAGATGATGGTACTTTTCCTGCATTACTCAAAACATTGTCAGATTCTTCTGAGGAGGTAAGTATTTGTGTCATCTCATAATTATGTAATAGCATATATTTCTCAGCAATTTTATTTTTTGTCCAAGTCAGGTTGTCAAGCGAGACTTGCAGCTTCTTGCTCAAATATCTTCCAACTCCGAAGATGAATATTTTACAAGATTTATGGTCGATTTATTGAAACTTTTCAGTACCGATCGCCGGCTTTTAGAATCAAGAGGTAGCTTGATTATCCGACAATTATGTTTAAGTCTTAATTCTGAACGAATATATCGCAGTTTTGCAGAGATTTTGGAAAAAGAGGAGGTATTTCTTTTTTCCTTGTTATTTTTTTCTCCAATATATATATATATATATATTTATTTATTTACTATTGTTTTATTCGAACTTAAAAGGATATAGAATTCGCATCTACAATGGTACAAAATCTCAATATAATTCTCATCACATCACCTGAACTTTCCGGCCTGCGTAAACGGCTCAAAAGTCTCGAGACAAAAGATGGACAAACGCTGTTCACCGTGCTTTACAAGTCATGGTCGCATAACCCCGTATCAACTTTCTCACTCTGCCTTTTAGCGCAAGCTTACGAACAGGCAGCAAATTTACTACAGAGTTTGTGAGTATTGCTTGTATTGTATCATTATAGATTCTATAGATGATACGGTTTGCATTTTCAGCCTTCATACATAATTAACTTAATCTCGTTTGTTAAATGTTGTTCGATGAAACAGCGCAGAATTAGATATAACAGTGAATCTACTTATACAGATTGACAAGCTGGTTCAATTGCTCGAGTCGCCCGTATTTACATGTATAGTTTTTACTATTTCTGTTGCAACCTTATTATACATGTAAAGCACAGTATATGCTAAATTTTTATTTTTATGATTAGATCTACGTCTTCAATTGCTAGAACCTGAGAAACACCCACATCTTTTCAAATGCTTATATGGAGTGTTGATGCTGTTACCACAAAGTAGTGCATTCGCTACTCTAAGAAATCGTCTAAATAGTGTTAGTTCAATGGGATTCTTACATTTAATTCCAAAAACGTACGTGTTTTGATTATTTATGGATATTGCTAATATTAGTCATCGACGATGCGATATTAATGTTGTTTTCATGCCAATATTCATAATTTTAATTGTCTCATTCAGAAACCCGCCACCAGACACGAAATCTAGGTCAAGTAAGACAGCTGCTGTTGTTAAAGAAGACGGTATCAAGTGGCAAGAACTCTTAATACATTTTCGTGCAGTGCAGGCTAAGCATGAAAAATCACGGAAACAATGTGATTATTTTTATTGATGAATTCAATTCGCGCATACAAAGCCGCAAAAACTGACTATCTTATTTCGCCATTATTAAAAATCAAAGCTGCACAAGCATCTGGTAGATCTAGCAGTGCATCACGATCTAGTCGTCGACGCGACCGTGATCGCGATCGAGACCGATCCCAACAGACCAACAATAATTCAAGTCAAACTTCTTCCAGTAAAACGCTACCAATTCCTGGTGGTGGTAGCATGATTCCAGGTGTGTCTTCACAGGGAACCGTCGCGCATAGTAGTGTAGAATCAAAAAATCGACGAATGAGCAATAGCGATGGGTCAAAACGCACCCCAAATAAGAACAAATAGTAGTTCAATACTATTTTTTACGTATGGTCCAGTACGGATAGAGTAAGAAATTATGGTTGGTTTAGTGATTTTGGATTTTATTTACTGTATTATATTTTATTTAACCAGTGTATTATATTTATTTAAAGTAAATGTTTCATTATTTGACTAATGCGAACATTTTATTGGATCTCGTGATAATCAATAATTGCTCGTTCATTGTTTTAGTATATACTTCATACTTGTATGTGAAAATGTAAATACACAAATCCACATGCTATATTGGTTGAATCTAGGAATTTTAAATATTTCATTGTGAAATAACAAGTCCAACAAATCGTCAATTTCAAATTACAAGTGATCCCTGTTTTTAAGTAGTCGATTTTTGCATTGTGTTAAAAGACGAAAATTTTCCATTTGCAAACCAATTTCTGGTTCTTTGCGCGGACGAGCACCTCAACGTTTAAAACAATTATTCATATCGTTATCAAAAAATAAAAACGTATATCAGGTTCAGTGTTTTATAAACAACATAGAAATGCAATAATGCATGGTCACGAGAGTAATTATTTACTTTAAACAAAATGCAGCAATACCCTTGAAAAAAAATCATGAACCCACACGACGACACCGAAAAAGTATACACGTCCGATTCTGACCTTGAAGACGCCGATTACGTACCTCAAGGTGTTGTTAATTTTGCTTTTCCAGATGATAAAAGCGTAATTTTTCATTCAGCAATCGTCGTTAACATGATTTAATATTCAAAATGTCAAAGGCGAGGAAAATAGTGATAGTGAAGCAGAAGACTTTACTACGCAAGAGGCTGAGGAAGATAATGATAGTGTGGAAAGTCCTAATGGCAATGGAAAACGTAAAAAAAGTACACGTTTGAATCCAATTTCCGAGATTATTACCAAGAAGCCAAGGTTTATATTTAATATATTTATTTCAAAGTATACTTTGCTACCTTGATTAGAATAAAAATATATACATTTTGAATCGAAAATTTTAGGATTCAAGAAACTTCAAACGACGAAAAAATTTCGCCTATAAATCAACAAAGCAAGATTGATGCTCTATGGGCCGAGTTTAATAAAGAAGAACCGAAAATCAGTACTGACACGTCGTCTTTATTGTCGCCCCTTAAAGATAATTCCTATACCTCAAAAAAAGAAATGACTACAAAAGTTAGTATATGATGAAGATTGATAATTCTTGTTTGCTTTGTCTTGTTAAATAACTCGCGTATCTTAAAAAGACGATTACGATAACGGAAACTTTTAGATTCGCTGGTGAAGAAATAACGTAAATATATGAATTTTTATTAATTTGACGAAATGATTTTGACTATTAATATTATGTTGTTATTGCAGAGAGACAAGAGAAGTAGACGCTGATTCTGAAGAAGCAAAGCGATTCTTATTAGAACAAGAAAAAAAAAAATCTATTGACCAATCAAAACAACAACCACCTTTGTCTTCCTCATCTTCACATACAAAAACCGATAATGATGACACCAAAGAACAACCAAATAATAGCAATAATAATATAGAAAAGTCATCCACTTCCACTTCATCAAACCAGTCTCCAAGTAGGAAAGCCTCGTTAATTGTAAGTCACAATGGTAAAAAACCTATAAGACCAAAGTCAAATTTAGATCAATTAGCTGCTTCACTCAAAAATAAGCCCACGAAAATAAATACTCTTGATAAATCCAAAATGGATTGGAACAAGTTTGTCTATAAGGAAGGAATTGTGGATGAACTTAAATATCATAATAAGAGTGGGCAAGTATCGTAATAACTCCTTTTTCACAATTGGACACGTTTTAATTTGCGCGATTCTCTTAATTATTAGGTTTGTTGACAAACAAGAATTTCTACAACGCACGTATGAGCGACAAGAGGCTGAACTAAAATCTCTTCGAAAAGGGTCAAAAGATTAATAATTAAACAGAAAAAGCGGATGTGTGTAAGATTAATTGTCTGAAATTGTACAATGGTCTATTTTTATTGCTATTTTCATTGTCGATTAGCAGATAAAATTAAAACACATAACGAAGAAACTTAAATTCATTCAGTCTGATATGATGATGATTCATCTTGTTTGCTCATCTTTGTAGTATTAGACGCGAATCACGCGATCTAGTGGAACAATATAATTATCACGGAAATTACAAAACTACGCATTCTGATTTTGTCTTCAAATTGAATGGAAAAAACCCAGTTCAAATTGAAAGATAAAGTCAAATCCCAAATCATGTTCAAAATTATGGTCAAATTCTAAATTTCAAATTCAAATTATATACATGCTCACAAGAAATGGAACACGCAATCAAATCTAGAATTTTCGTTTTAAACCTCGAAACCTCATTTTTTTACAACAGATTATTTTAACCATTTTTGTTGGAATTGAGTTATTTCAATCAAAATTTTCGATTAGTATATTTCTCACATTGAACAATTTTTTTTATAAGACAAATAAAAAATGTTCTATGAATCCCGAAGGTCCGAATCTCCGCTACGAGTATAAGAAATGTTCGATTTTTCGGATTTAGTGCTTACGGACGAAACTTTCGAAAATTTTGCAATAAATAGGAGTATACATCACCTTTTTCTCCCAGAGGTTGGATAAAAAATATTGCTTAAATGCTGGTTGCTTGGGTTTGAAAAAGGGAAATGCCTTTTGACCTGTAAGAATTCCCAGTTCGACGCTCGAAAATGACAATGCTTTCGTGGCACCGAACCCGACTACTCTAGATTTTCTTAGTCGATTTGCTGGTTTAGAAGGGTTAACGCTCGGAACAATTTTTCAACATGATAATGATCCCAAACATACAGCAGGTACAATTAAAACTTAACTCGGATTAACTAATTTTTGCCCCGGCTTTAATTATTCTTGAAATTGTTTTTTGTTATTTCATATATCATTTCATTTAGTTTATCATTAATCACTTCAACTACATCACGTCGATTGTCAAAAAATGAGTCATTTACTGGACCCCCGGGTACTTTAACACTATATAATAGATGCTCTACTCTAATAATTATATAAAGAAACATTAGAATGCAAGAAATCATCAATTATATATTTGAATAAGAATAAATGTATTTGTAACTGTTATTTGTAACAATCACATTTTTGATTGGCTAATTAGAACCTGAGTCAGGGTTAAGATTATGGATATGTGATTGGTTAATATTGATTCTTTGAATAAACATGTCGGAATTTTCGAGTTTCAGTAAAAAATTAGTGGTGACTAATTATATTATATCCCAACCTTAAGTATGATTATCGTTATATTATATCATATCACAGAATCATGTATAAACTAAATAAAAAAACTGGGTCTATAGATATGGATAACCGGTACAGGAACTGCACTATGCTGCCCCGAACCAACTCTTTTCCAATATAGCACCATACATTACCCAAAAAAAACATATCGATAATCGGTACCTGTTATTATTGTTAAAAATTAATCTGCGCGCCAAAAGTATGAATTTTTCCAGTCTGCGGATTACAGAACCTTGATTTCTGTGTGACTTCGGCTTTCTGCAAGTGGCAAATCTAACGATAAGAAAAAATACACATCAGAAAGTTTCTTGGACTAGACTAAAGTACATCTTGCTTTATTTGTGTCTCTCAGGAGGCAAAGGATTCATTACGCGCGTTTTAAAACAATTCCGAACGAAGAAATCTTGCATGTAAGGTTTGGATTATTCTACTTCTCTTTAAGGTTAAACTGTGATGCAATGAAATTCTGAAAATCTGCTATTGTCACTTAATGTTTCTGTCATCGCAAAGATATTTTTATTTTATCTGGTCTAAAGTACAGATAAAAATAGGTATGCAATTGTAACTTTTTGAAACAATTAACCCATATTTTACACCAGCCCTTTTCATGAGAAATAAATAGAATATGCGCAATTTCATTTTTAGGTCTGATCGTAATAATACTGCTTTGAATCATTTGTTCATTCGATATATCTCTGATTGAAATATGTACAGAATATTTATAGAAAGATCCCCTTGTGTATATTGATATCGTAAATCCAAGATAATACTAATTGTTCAACCGAGGTGTATATGGATGCGACATTTCAGTACTTTACATTAATAAATAGTCGAATATGAAAAAGGGATCAAGGAAATATAAACATAAAGGAAAGATGAATAATAGAAAGCTTTCAAATTTGAGGAAATGATCGAAAAAACCCCTAAAATTTTTTTATAGTACATGGAATGAATGATTGATTGATTGGGTGATATCTTCAAATATCCAGTCAATCTTTTTGACACTTGTTTTGAGATTCGAGTCGAAAGGGTTGTAAGGTGTAGGAAATATATAGATTATAAAAGAAGCAATCGTGAAAAGAATATTTTAGGGAAAAAGTGTTTAAATTTATATCAACGATATGAATCCATAAGTACACTCGAAATATTATTGTCATTTATGTTCGATGTAGGTGACTGGAAAATATTCGTAGTGCCATCAATGATGTCTTGCGTAATATTTGCCATGTTTAATGTCCTGACGGTGGGAATAGTTGTTGTTGGCTTTGTTTATTGATTTATGGTTTTTCCGAGGTAACAATTATTGGAAGACTGTGTGTTTATATACAGGTCTATACGCTAATTTAATCATGAGATGCGCGAGAGACGAAACCTGTTAAGTGTTCGAAAGAAAATTATAAAATAGCGCCATAGTCCCCATTTATTAAGAGGATAGTATTGATTATACACGCAAAATTATATTCTGCTGTTCTTACATAATCACTACAGTTCATGGGTAATGATTTTTGTTGTTAATACAATATTGATTTTGGGGATTGTGAAAAAATTTTTAATATGTAACAGAGAGAACAAAACTTTCTGGGCCTATGACCTACTAATGAAGCGTTTAAACAGGCAAGAGCCCGTCTAAATAGTGATTCAAGGATGCAGAAGACAGCAGAAAATTTTTAATAAAAGTTTGGCACCTTTCTCTCTGAAATTACTAGTTTATTCTTGTGAATTTAGGATAGAAAGTATGATTTTAGTCAAGTTGAAAGTTTCTTTATTTGGTCCGAAATTTCTCATTAAAAAAGCCGATTGTATCGATAAGATGCATGTAACACAGTCAAACTCCGGTGTCGGCAGCAAGCCAAGAATAGAATAAATGCTGTCGATTGGAATACCTCGTCCGCACACTCTTGTTTCCCTGAGTGACTTGTTTGATTTTTTTAATTACGGCGCAGAAACTTCGAGAAAAAGCTATTCTCTGTAGAAATCTTAAATCCGAATGATGATTTCATTAGGCTTTGTCAGAAACAACCATTAGAAAAAAATTCCTCCTATTGTTATGTTTCAAATTTAAGTTCGTGATCATCAAATATCGACAATACATTACATGTATCGGTTATAAACACGTAATCACTATATTATGTGTATTATAATTAACTGCTTTCTACAAAGAATAAATATAAATAAATTAATTTAGAATTCTCGTTTATTCATGGCACGAAATGCATATTTGATGGCAACTTATCTTTGTGTTTCTCAAACAAGATGGTCGTTCATCGGGTTCCTGTATTTTACGGTTTAAAGCACACAGTGGTGTTGGCAAGTGACATTGAAATGACATCAAAGGACATCTATTTATTAGTGGCAACATGAGAGATGTTCCCGTTTGGTTCAATGGGTGCTAGTAAGGCCGTTACTATCACCTGATATTGTAGCGGTACCTGTTAACCAAACGGTGACTTCCTTATCGATAGGCCAAAATGAGAACATTTTGCTCCCGTTAACGTTAGCACTTTAACGGAAACTCTTTAACAGGATCCTTAATTAATATAATTGAATAAGTGCTGCTTGATGAAAATCGCTCCCAAAAAGTGGCGGTACTTTACAATAATTCATCATTTTTATTATATTAACAAACGAAAAAAAATTATCATATACAGTAAATATACTCTTTAATCCGAACAATATTGCATTACAAAAATTTTATTTATTTTTTTACACTGCACCATATTATGGAGATTGCATCCTTTAATTATATCATAAATTTCCCATTGTTTGTTATATTTATATATCCCCGTTTTACTTGATCAGTTTTATTTTGAAATCAAATTTTGCAATATTTCAATTGAAGGGAATGAGGTACTTGATATCAATAATTTAAAGAAATTAGTTGAATATGCAATAAGGATAAAGGAATTATATGAACGAGTATAGATTATATGAATAGAAAAAAATATAAATCACGTGAAGCAATTGCAAAAAATGTCTGTTTTTTGTATTTTTCGCATTTTTATTTTCTTGTGTCGGATTTGTTTTGCCGGGTTGATCAAAAATTTGCTACATTCCTATTGGTTGCGCATAATTTTTGCGTATTATTATTGGTTGGATTGGTTCATCATCACATGATCGACACTTTTTTTGCCGTGGCTAGGGTATTTATGAGGACCCATCTGACATGTCGCTGGTAAAATCTATGCCGGCTATAAACAATCCAATTTTGAAGGATTGTTTATTCGTGAAACATTAAATTAACTGTAAAAAGAAATGTACCGGCAAAATTGAGAATGAGACCGATAAACGAGAATTCTAGATCCATGAAATCTAGAATAATTATTGAGAATAAAAATAACATTATTTATCAATTTTGATGATAATTTTTTTTGGAGTGCGAAAAATTTTATACTAAGGAAAGTAGCACATATAGAGAACACCAGTTATTATGTTTATTGGTCACACTTCCTCATTTACGAGGTAGTTGTTCGTATACAGAACATAATTTGAGGACGAAATGATTAACATTATACTCTATAAAAACAATCACTTATAAGCACTTGATTTTTCTGGCCAACCATATTCTTATAAAGAAATATGATTGTATTTATATAGTTAGAGGAATCAAAATAAAATGAGAAACATCTACTGACTATTGATAGAAAATAA